TTAGAGCTGAGCTTTTGGTAAAAGTGAGTGATGCGTGTCCTAGAGAAATGAGGCTGCTGGAAATGCATAATTTCCTGAACGTGACTTGTATCATGACTTAGGTAAATCAGGGGCTGTGGAGCTTGGGGGGATTTCTTTTCTTTTTAAGCATACAAAGTTCTAACTAACTTGAAGCCCAAACATTTAAATGGTCTGAATTCTCAAAAAGCTTTAGTACTGTTTTTGAGCAGCTTGGTTAAAGTTAGTTTACATTCAGGATAATTTAATCATTTTGAAGCCTCTTTATCAGTGGCATCTTTTTGACACTTCCACATTGGTCTTGCTTTTTTTATTGTGGCTTTAAGATAACTTCTACCTTAATATACTGATTCCTGTCATTATAAAGTCCTTCACAGAATTTCAGGTTGTGGGGATGACGTCGTTCTCCTTACACAGCAGAAATTATTTTTCAAAACCATTGGGGCTGTGGTGTATTTAATATCTGCAAAATTTGGTCTTGCACAGGAATTTGCTTTCCTGTTCCTTTTTCTTATGTGGAAAGTGGAAGCTGCTACAATTCTGCTAGTAAACCTGTGTTGTCTCATGGAAAGGATTTGAAACCAGGGGCTGGTTGGTAGCTCCCACCTTTTCTTTTTAATGTCTGGGGATAGGGGCAGCAGCTTCTCTTTATGCTCTCTCTTGGGGAATTGCCCTTTTAAAAATGTTCAAGGCTTGACTGCTTTAGATAATGAAGGGAGCTAAGGATCACAGAGGTAAATCATGTAACTTTGTATTTCCTTGGAAAGGTCATTTGGAGCAGCACAGTGTTTCCAGCAAGATCAGGCCTGGGCTTGTTCTGCTGAGAAGAAGAAAAAAAAAACCAGTAGCATTGCTGGCTTTTATACATGGGTGGGAAAAAAAAACGGTAGCATTGCTGGCTTTTATACATGGGTGGCATATCTATTTGTGAACAAGCCCAAATGTGTTAAGCTGTACTGGGCAAAAGCACCTCCTCAGGGAAGCCAAACGTACTTCCACCTGTTGGGTTTGGAATCACTTTCTCGTTGAATTTCACAGGTTAGGTTAGCATGAAGGTAGAAGATGCTGGATGCTGCAAGTGTGGTGGGAAGGACCACTAAGGTGTGAGGGTGCAGTAGGTGGAGCTCTCGCCGCGTCGGTGCAGAACGGAGGGAGCTCACGAACTAGTAGTTGGGTCTTGCTGGACTCCCTCAAAACTTGCCAGCCCGGGTGTTACCCTGATGGACTTGCTTATGTGACATAATTGAAGATAATGTGCTGTGACAGGCAAAGGATGGCCTCTCAAGAAAAAATGTCTTTGCTCTGAGCAAGTGTAAATTTGCCAAGCTTTGTAAAGGAGCAAACTTCTACCTGGAGGATGTAAAACTAGGTCCTAAGAAGTCCGGGCTCTGAAAGATTTCATAGCATTCTTTGTAACAATACAGGAGTGGTGCTTCACGTTCAGTTTAGGAAAGAGCTCTGCTTTCAGAGCAGAGTTCTGCTCTGTTTCCCTTTGGGAGGGAGCTCTTGACAGTGCAACCAGGGTCTCACAGTCGCTGCTGCGTGCTGACTGACAAGTCAGATGAAACAATCTCCATTGCTGCCTCTGCACTGTGCTGATGTTTCCGAAAATGTAGAGGCAGAGCTGCTTTCTCAGCACGGCAGTAAACCTGCTGTCCCCAGAAAAGAGTTATTGTCTGGTTTTTGAAAGGCTGAGTCAGAAACTGGAGAACATACAGCTTAAAATACAAACTAAACCCGTGTCCATTTTCTAGGCATCTTGTTTAATTTTTTGTTTGTATTGCCTGTTAATTTGAGGGCTTTATCTAATTCATGTCTTCCGGCCTGCCATTCTGCAAACCATCGAGCCACTCGTGGATCAACTTGTCTCACCTATATAGTGTTTGTCATTAAGTTTCGCTCAAGATGGCTCTATATCGCATCTAATTAGTCCTTGTGTGACTAATCTCTGCATGAACTGGCTAGCCTGGGGTGCCACTTATGTCTGAGACCTCTGCAGCTACAGGAAAATGAAGAGATGTATTCAGATAAGTGCACGGGGCCAAATCACACCCCGTGCTGCAGGAGGAGGTGAAAAAAACACAGGGCCAGACCCCAGAGAAAATTATTCTTGACCTCAGATCTGACAGTCAATCCAGTTCCAAGAATAAGAGCAAGAGGGTTTTTAAGTGTATCCTCTGTATTCTTTGAAACCACCAGTCACACCCCTCCGCGTGCAGCTCTAGTCAGTCTGTGATACTTCCAGTTCAGAGGGAGAGAGAGCACGTCTAACTTTCTAGATACTGGAATAAATGATGTGTCTTGAGCCACGCAGACGAATCGTTGACCCCTGAAGAACCAGCCGAGTATAAGTGTGTTACAGGCAGAGTAAATGATTCTTTTCTCCTCCCCCTCATGAAGGATGGGAAGAAATGCAAGGACTAACATTCACATTTTTCAAATGACTGTCCAGCTGAATGCCTTGCAAACAGAAGCTATAGGGGAGGGGGGGGAGAAAAAAAGCTGTATTAAAGCATGTCTTTTCCTACTAAATGTCAATCCATAGTGTCTTCAGTTGTTTGCCTGAATATTTTGGAGATCTGACCAAAGTATTGTCCAGCAACTGCCTTGTCTGTTTGACCATGACATGGGTTGGGTTTGGTGGGTTTTTTACTATTTTCTCAGCTCTGTTAACACTGGTCAACTTTGAGGAATTACCGTGTCTCCTGTAGAGAATTAAACTGAGAAAACAAGATAGCTTGGCTCACGCGTTTTGTCTCTGTGAGGGTTAAGCACCTCGCTTTGAAATGAATACGTGGCTTATAAATAGATTCCTCTTTCACAAAATGCAAAACAGTCTCTGTTTCGCAGGACAACGGGAACCAAAAAACAAGCCCCAGAATGAATGAGCGCTAGAAGTGCACAGCTGATACGCTGTGCAGGACCACCTTTGGAAGTTACTGAGGTAGACACACTGAAGCTTTCAGGTGAAAGGATGCTAAGGTTTGAACTGCAGTGTATCTCAAGAACTTATTAAGGGAAATACTGCATTTGTATAAAAGGTCTTTTTGCAGACTAAGTATTTCTGGCATTTAGTAGTGTCCCAATAAGTGATCTGCTGCTCTGCTTTTGCAGTATAATGCTTTCCTATAGCATGTTCTGTGGCATTCGAAATAAGCATTATCATGCTATAAATAAGCCTGGGCAAGTCTTGAAGCAAAATGGTCAGATCCCTGGAGCCTACACTCTGTAATTTATTATAGACCTGTTTTGGTCCACAGATAGAAGTGGATGAGAACAAGAGGGTGACAGCGGTGTGATAGTGCAGTGACTCAATTCAAAATGTCACGGTGCGTGTTAGTGCTGGAGTTTGCTGGGGGACTGCTAACATCGTTGTTGCAGCAGTCCTGAACGTCTAATGGCTTTGCTGGCCAAATACTTCCCCAGATTACTCTGCTTTGCAGCCTGTGCTGAGCTCAGTGCTGCTGCAGCTATGTTGTTATCAGTACCAAAGTTAGCTGCTTTGAAGCTACTTGAGATATACTGAGATGAGCTGCAAGCACACCTTTGATCGTCATGTAGATGTAGTCATAATGAATCTTATTTTCTGATCATAGATATGCTAATAGTAGGGTTTTTTTAGGAAGGCATTGTTTGGATCAGAGGATGCTGGAGACTTGGCAGAGTGTGGAGAGCGTTTTGTGCTCCTGCTGGGGCACCATATAATCCAGCAAGGCACAGAAAACATGTCCCAAGTTTAAGTAAATGAGTAGTTCTACAGCTTTGTGTGAGACCGTTTGAGTATTTACCTGAAGTAAGGCACAGTAGTTAATACTTTGCAGGATTGAGCAAGTGACAACATATGCAAATATCAGTTACGTTTATCAACAGAATATGCAAAGCAGGTGTCAAGGATGATGATATTTTACCATTATCTGATTGTTTCGGCATGACTACCGTAGTTGATAGCAACAGGATCATGGAGGTCTTAAAGAAAAACCTGGCGGAGGGTTTTCTGTGGAGAACTGAAATGAGCCCACTGGTCAGTCGCTTGCTCCCATGCTGTCTCCCACCTGCTCCTCTGTTATGATATTCCTCATTTGTCAGATCTTAATTAGTAACTGAAGCATACGCAGAGAGGATGGCAGTGAGAGCTGCAGTGACCTTTGGTGTTCTGTCTTCCCCTACATGTGTTTGTTGGGAGACCTGCAGTTTAAATCAGCGTGGTAGAATGAAGTTACCCTGTGTGTATTACGGCTGTAATTTGTAATCCTTATTTGCTATTCAGGTTCTGTTTCAGGTATAACGATTTACATATTCCACTCGGAAACATGCATGCTCTAAGGTTTGAATTCAGATGAATCTACTTCTAAGTTACACAAGTGCAAAATAAAAATAATAAAAAAATTAAAAAAATCAGAATACTTTAGAAGAGGAAAAAAAAAGTACTTCTGGGTCCTTGCCTTTTGGTAACTCAGAAATTATTAGACTGCTAGTCCTGCCAGATAAAGGGAATTGTTTTCTGGCGGAGGGGAAAAACAGGTTATCATTAGATTAAATTATTAGATGAAGTAAGAATATTTTTTGAGCGCTTTGCGGGGCAGGACTTTGTTTTGTAGTGTGGTGATTTTGGGTTTTTTTTTTTGTGGGGGCTCTGTCAGATCAAATAACATTAGCAGCACATAGCTATAGTTTTTCTCTTTACGATGATCTATACGCTATTGCAAAAGAGACTCCTGTCAGGATAAAATTTCCTTTGCACAGAGCACTGTGCACAAATAAGAAGGTTCCAGTGCATGATCCCGCTTAATCATGGGAAAGCAACTTGCACACATCTCCTGCCATGCAGGGAAAAAAAACCACATGAGAGTGGGGAGGCATTCTCTCATTTGGAAAACACCACTGGTATTGCACTTCTGATTGCGAAAGTTGACTGGCAAAAGGACAACTGCAGCAAGCAGAGATGGCAAATCCCTCATCAGTTATATTTCCCTTTTGCAGCTGATGAGGAACACCAGCAAAATGTGGCGGCGGCAGCAGTGGCCAGGCCTCGGCCCCATGCTGAAGAGCGGGGAGACGGGATGCCGAGGCGCCGGAGGAACATGGGAAACCGGATGATGGCCCAGAGGAGAGCGCAGCAGGCAGAAGACTGGATGGAAGGTAACGTTCGGTTCAGTTCATCTTGCAAACATTGAAATGGACCTTAACAACAGACGTTAAGGTTGGTGAAGGGGTGTGCTTGGCTCCTGAAGAAAGTTTTTCGGTTTTGATGGCTGTGAATTATTTACAGCTTGACTATAATCTCTCTGACTGTCCAACTTCTCTCCATACTTCATCACTTATCTCTAGATACCGCTTACCTTTATCTGAAGTGTCTACCTCCTTCTGTGGTGAATTCTGGCAGTTTGTTGTGCCAACAGTGCATCACAACATATTCTTCACTTACTTCCTAGAAACTACCTTTTGTATTTCCTGCTTAGCCGTGCGGGTTAAATATGGGTAAACAGAATCCGCACCTTGCACTAGAATAACAAGCTGTAGTAAAGTAGTGGTTTCTTGCAAATCGGTGGGAAGCATTAATTCGCCAATATAATCTCTGCAAAATCTGGAGTTTTCTTTCTGAGAAGCCATCCAGGTGGTGATCAGAATCAAGCCAATTAGCTGGAGATCACCACAGACTGCAGTATTTTGTCTTACTGCCAGCAGGTTGTTGACAAGAAGTCCTCTGTTCCCGTGCTGGATGTACAGTTAATAGCTATACTTCTGTGGCGTGGTCGCAGACAGGAATATGGTGATAAATAACATCTTTCTACAGCCTGTAAGCCTCGCTCCCTTTTCTGGTGAAACTTCACACATTGTTATCTTTATTGCTAAAGAAATGATATCACCATGATTCACCTAACTGGATTCCTTCTGCTTTCAGATTGTGGGTTAAGTGTTCAGGGTTTCTGCTGAAGTATTGATAAAAGTGGGCTTCGTTTCACTTGAGTTTGCAGTGGAGATCGGGGTGTCATTGTGGTCTGCAGTAGGTGAGAAACAGTGAGCGCGCATCTGTGATGCCTTGATTAGGGGCTAGTTGCACTTTCTTCAGCTTTTCTTGTCTTGCAGTTTGTAGAAAGCATCTTGCGCTCACGTTGGCAGGTAAACGTGCTATTCAAGCTAATTGTGTTCAACAGTTTCACAAGTGGAAAATTGACAGGTCTGAACTTTTCAACTTTGGTTATTTCTTTTCATGTGATAACATCCTGGAAAGAAAATGGAATCTAAAAATCTTTCTCCTTAAAGTCCAGACATCAAAAGTTTGAATGCTGAAGGCCGACAGTGAAGCTGTCAAAGCAAACGGCTTATCTTACTTTGTCACTTTAGCAATAGAAGAGTCTGTGTCATTGGGCTTTATAAATAATTCTTTTGCAGCTTACTGTACATCAGATGCAAGTGCTGTGGCTGTTGAATGAAGTTTTCTTTGAAATCACATCCCTGGTTTTTTTGTGGGTGGTTTTTTTTTCTAATTTCTTTTTCAAATTAAAACAACTTCTTGCTGTTTGCTTCTGTTTTGTGCTTCTGTGTGTGTTCATATTCTGGGATGGTCTTTCCAAGTGCCTAAGCACCGCTGCACAACAGTAACACCAAAGCCTTTGGAGACTGAGCATAGACTTCAGCAGTATAGCTGTGGAGAGAAGCATCTGTCCCTGGTTCCCCAGCATTGAGGTGTGGAACGACTCATGGCCGTGTTACTTGGGATTAGCCCCCCTCTGTCATGGACTGGCTGCGTCTGTGCTGCAAAGCCTTTAGCCTGGCCCTGAGCTACCTGTATTAGTGTGGAGTTTGGGGTTTTTTTCCCCTTAGAGAAGGATGTGTTACATGGTTTGAAGCCCACTCTTATGCTTATGCATGTGGCATAAGCCTGGAATCACCTCTTAGATTTGTCTCCTTTGTGCGGGGGCCATGTGCATTTTATCTGTGTCATTGCAATATAGAGCAGTTTTGTCTAATTACCGCCTCAGTTTGAACCTGTTGAAATAGCAAGTTATCCCCACAGCAGAGTTTTGTGTTATAAAAATTAGTTGACTCACATGGAAAGAGAGCCCAGAATGCATGCTGAAGAACAAAGTTATTTGGCAATGTAGACAGAAACACTGAAACCAAGCCACTCTGGTTTCTTCAGTCTTGACTTGTAAATGTTCTTGTTGCTTTAGAAAGCTTCTGAACATCTGCAACTGAAGTGGATTTTTTTTTCGTTGTTAAAATATTGTTAAATTTGTCAAAATGTTTTACTAGTAAGTTTCTGTTCTGTGTGTGGAATTTCCACTCTGGGCCTGTGTTTAGTTTTGGGCAAAGCTACCTGATCCTGCTCTGTGTCACTCTGACTTCTGCCACAGGTTGGTGCAGGCACAAACCCATCGCTGCAAGATTTCTAGCACTGAACTCGGGAAGGGCTTGAGGATGCCCTGGCCGTATCTATGTTACCGTTACAGACATAAAAGTGGAGTCAGGTAGGGACTGCTGTTATCACCAAAGTATTCTGCCTGTCAGGAGCCAATTCTGCTGACTCTAGGAAATGGTCTCAAAGCAACACTTGCAGGCTTTGGAGCTGTGGTTAGCATGAGGGTTTTCTGTTTTCCATCTAACAATCAGATTTCAATTCCAGAATGAGAAAGAAAGCTTCAAGGGTAAAATAGTAGCCCACAGTTTCTACTGCCTGTGCTAAGTTGTATTGTGCCGGTACTCAAATCTCTCACAGAGTATGGGGGGCGGGGGGGGAACCAAACAAATTGTGGCACTAGGATCAGAACCTTGATAGCTTTTAATTGTCCCTTCTGTAGTTGAAATCTTAATCTTATTTGCTTGCAAGTCTGGGTAAGGAGGAGTCATTTAATACAGACAAGGATAGTAAATGATTGTTTTGAATACTCAAATCTCTACCCATTGCCAGTGGAGCTAAACCAGGTTACAATTCTTCATTTAGCTCAGTGAGGTGGGGTAAGACACCTGAAGTGCTTGCAGATTGGCACAGACAGAAAATAAAGGGTGAAGCGCTAAATGGCTCGACTTTCCTACCAGAATTGCAACCCACGCCACGTACGTAGGTTCCTTATTCACGGGTTCCACGTGGGCTGCGCTGTACTGTGGGGGCAGGCCCGCTAGCCAGGTGCCTACGCTGGCTCGGTTTGCCTGAGTAATGTTTTTCAGTGGTTAGTTGAGTACTCAAAGGAGGTCATCTGTCATGAGCATATCAACATCTATTAATATCCTCTGATGACCAAAGATTGCTGGGGAGATATTTTTCATTGGTGACAAAGTAACTCTCAAAATGACTGAGACCCCTGAGCTGTGTTCCACCAGCGTGACTTCCAGGCTGGCTTTAGAAAAATGGGTTTGGTTAGCTTATATTGCCCAACTTAATGCTAGTCATAACACTACTGTCTTTCATGCAGCGCAGTGCAATCTAGGCGACTGTTGTTAAAGTCTGTGTGCCTCAGAGGACATCTGCTCTGCACATTGTAGCAGGGTGCCTATGCCTTTCCCTGTGGAAAATGAGTCTGGAAGGAGAGTTCTGTATTCATGTGGTTAGGTTGCTTCTGATATCCCAGCTAGCAGACTTAATTAGCTCTGTTGCATCTTAATTTAAGTCGAACCCAGACAGAAGTGGCTTTGTGGGGCTAGCTACAGCCAAGATGAAAATAAACTCACTGCAAGGCATAAATGTGTGTGGATTTCGGGCATTAATCATTTAGGGCAGGAGAGGCCAAGCTAAGCAGTGGAAGGAAGCGGGAGAAAGGGGCTAAGTTGGAGTTTGGTTGAGGGTTGCTCGGGGCATGGGGTAGTGTGGATAAATAGCATTAGCCATTTTCCAATTTCAGATCCCATTTATTTATTGACTGAGGAGGGTGTCTTTGGCTCTTGTTTTTGCCTGACTGATGCTCTGAGTGCATCCACTTGGACTTTGATCACCTTTGGGTACATGTAAAGATGTTTTCTTGAGAGCATTTATTCGGTTGCTGGTCATGTGCAGAAAAAGCAGTTGTCCAGTTCTCGAGTTGAGCTTGCGCTTCCAAACCTGCTCATTGTGCCTTGAACACCGCAAAGAGCTCTGCAGTGAGGTAGGTGCTTCTCTTGACACTACATTTTCTGCTTCTTGGAGCAGAAAGTGACCCAGCCAATCTGATGTTTGCTTAAAAGTTTTAGTACTGTAATTTCCTATTAAGTGACAAGAAACTTGTGGGGATGGACTTGTAACGGCAAGTATGGTTGGGTCATCTTGATCCCACTGTGGTGAAAATAATGAGGATGATGATCTGAGGCAAATGTCTGTTTGCTTGAAGGACTGCTATACGTTATTTCCGACAATGACTTTGTACAGACATGTAGTGAGAAAACCTGCCTGCCTCAGCACGCGATAGAAAGAGTTTGCGGAGAGACAGAGGCATGCACAGGCAAAGGGCCTTTTCCGGGGTGGCTCAGTCAGTTGGTGGGTAGGACACAGGTTTTGCAGTCCAGGTTTTCTGTCGCTTGGAGTGGTGTCTGGGCCAGAACTTGCTACTGTTGATTTGGGGGGAGGCAGCATTTTTGTTGGCTGAAACTGGTGGGTGTCACCACACCATGATTTAGGGTAGTTACAAAGACACAGCCTTCTCTAAGAAATGATAGCAATCTCCAAACCACCAAGCAAAACAAAGACCACTGGGCAGCCCTCTGGGTGGAAGGCTTTGGTGGGTGTTGTGGGTGAGGCTGAGCTAGATGGAGAAAGAAAGGAGGCAAAAGAGAAGGACGTGCCAGGGGAGCCTAAGCAGCACGGTATATTTCCAGGGCATATTTTCAAGGGTTTAATTTTGAAAGATGCTCACTTCCACATCCTACAAACAAATGACCTCTCTGACTTGTTGCAAAAAGTGTTGCCAAAAAAAAGGGATTTTGTGTGGATTATTAAGTTTTGGGGTTTGTTTGGGTTTTTTAACAAACAGAAAGTAAGGACTGCATCGAAGAAATAATCTGGTTTTGTCAACGACCTTTATTCCGAACTGGTACAAACTGTAGGCTCTCTCTGTTTGGCAGCAGCATATAACTCCAAAAGGTTAAATATCCCAACATCTGCATGCCTTTTCTCTGAGCTTTTAGGATTGTACGTCTGAGCACAGGTGTAGAAATGTCCAGTACAGTGA